TGTATAAAAATGTCTAATGAAGGACACATAAGATCTGGTATAAACATAATCTGCTAGCCTGTGGAGAGAACAGAAGCAGGCCTGGAGGCAAAGTGACTTGTCGGGCAAACAGGGGCATATAGTCCAAGTGAGAAATTATGGGGCTTAAATGAGAACAGTAGCAGTTAAAATGCTGGTGAGGGACAGATCTGATATTTAGAAAGCAGACTGGTTTGCATGTGGAGGATGGAAGAAAAGCACGTGACTCCAGTTGTTAGTTTGAGTGGTGAGTGAATAGTAATGCCACAACAGGGGCTGATGGGTAGACTATGAGGAATAGATTTGAATGAGGAGACTGCAGTCTTCAGGGGCTGGAGGGTCAGGAAGCCTTGATTACAATGGACTAGCTCGCCTAAAGATAGCTCTTCACCAGGAAGAAATACATCTGCAGCTTGGAAAGGACAGGACTAGAAACATACACCTGTGAGTTTAAACCATGGGAATGGATGAAAACAACTGACAATAAAAACCTTGCCATATGACAACATTATTTTAGGAGTAAATGAACTTAGGCTACACCCACTTGATAAACTTGCAAGTCATTAAATAGTACCACAATGAAGACTATAGATAATATGGATATTTTCTTAATGTAAATTAAAAAGATCAGAGTACACATAAGCATGACATGGAAAATCTCAAAAACATGAAGAAGCCAGACACACACACACACACACAGTTTCCATGCACATGAAAATCTAGAATAGACACATGAGCTTATGGTGATAAAAAATCAGATCAGATCAATGTTGCTTCTAGAGGAAAGAGGCATGAAGGAATTTTCCTAGATAGAATTTTTCTATGCAGATGCACTTGTCAAAACTGATGGACCCAAAGCATTTCACTGTATGTAAATGACACCTTACAGAGTACAATGTTGTATATATTTATGTAAACAAAGACAAGGGGATATGGAAAAGTTAGTTATGTCAGGGCAGTGGAGCTATGGGTTATTTACCTGTCACTTCAGAATTTTCATACGTAAGTCTTTAAAAAGAAAAGAAAGGGAACTTTAAAACCTCAAATGCCCATACTTAGCCAGCCACCATGAAAATGAAAGCACATTTTTCCCATAAGAAACAGGAAAAAATTGCTGCAATTGGGGTTTATACTCGGAAGACAACAGGAATGGCCATACTCAACACAAGAATGAAAGCACCGAGGAATGTAAGATGCTGGGGGAGCCCACGGCATTGTTCTGAGTAGACCAAGGAGGGGTTTCCAAAGTGTGGTCACAATAGCACGTGGCAAGTCATTCCACAAAGGGGGTGTCCTCAGGCAGCAGAAACTTTCACTGGAGGGAAACTGGGCTGACTTGACAGCAGATGACACTTGCTAGAGTATGAATGGAAGGGACAACGAGAGGCAGTTAGATTTGGAAGGTCAGGAGCATAGGCTCTATTTGGGTGTTAGTGTTCCTGATGTGATGAGTTGTCCTTTATTCTTTGCTGTTCTTAGTAGTTTGGAAGCCTTGCCTCAATCTTCAGAGGTGGCAGAGAAACATTGCTCACTGGAAGAGTGACAACAACAATCCCCCATTATCTAGGGAAATTTGTGAACCCTTTGATGGTGGTGGTGTGGCACCTCAATTCTCTTGAGTTGCCTGTGATGAACAAGGCACAGACCAGTTGCTTCATACATATCACCGTTTTGTTCAAGCTCCACAGTCGTCCAGCAGAACGCGAAATAACTTCCCACCACCAGTGGGGAAACTGCACTCAAAGTAGTCAGAAGTTACCTAGGAGGGAATGGCCAAACACCTGGACTATGGACGCCATACCCCAAGACTTCTATGTATTAGGAAGGGATAGATCATGTCTTACATTTGAGTCTGAAGAGGAAAAAACATCCTGTCCCGAGGGAGTTCTAATACTATTGAATCCAATTATTATTCCTTTCTTTGGTTTTGCTTATGTCCTCACAAAACAGCAAATGCTGCTGATTGCTACACAACTTAAACAGCATATATCTTAATAGCTATTATTTAATATCAGTTAACAGTTCTAGATGCTTTAAGATGCATTACTTCATAAGATCCTTACAGCCACCCTTTTTTTAATTGTCTTTTTTTTTCTTTTTCTTTTTCTTTTTATATTCCCCATACATTTGCACCCCCTTATTTTGGCCCCAATCTCTCCTTTCCCCACCTCCCCTCATAGTGTGTCTCTGGTTTATAGTTGCTTGTTGATTTTGATTTTTACTTTGTATTAATTAGTCTTTTTCCTGGTCCCTTATTTAGGTTTTCTAGATTCCTGCTATGAGTGAGACCATCCGGTGTTTTTTTTTTTTTTTTTTTCTTTCTGGCTTATTTCACTGAGCATGATCCCTTCCAGCTCCATCCATGTTGCTGCAAATTGCATGAGTTTATCTTTTTGGATTGCTGAGCAATATTCCATGGTGTATATGGACCACATCTTCTTGATCCAGTCATCTATTTTTGGGCATTTGGGTTATTTCCATAGCTTAGCTATTGTAAACAGTGCTGCTATAAACATAGCGATGCAGATGCTCTTTGGAATTAATGTTTCTGTGTCCTTTGGGTAAATACCTAGGAGTGGAATTGCTGGATCATATGGAAGCTCCATCTTTAGCAGGTTGAGGAATCTCCACACAGCTCTCTATAGTGGTTGGACCAGTTTGCACTCCCACCAACAGTGCAGAAGAGTTCCTTTTTCTCCACATCCTCGCCAACATTTGTTGCTGCTAGTTTTTTTAATATATGCCATTATCACTAGAGCCACCCTTGAAGCAATTATGACTGCCATTTTACAGAGAACAAAACTGGGACAAAAGAAATATGACTTGCCTTTGGTTGCCCAGCTACCATAAACTTGAACCTAGATAGTATGACAACACAGTCTAACTACTTGCACTGCTCCTCAAATTTATACAACTGAATTTTAAACTTTGTTGTGTACAAACTAATTAACACCCCCGCCCCTGCCCTCTCCCCCCACTACAAATTGGCAGATCCGAGAACATTCTTTCCTCACTATTTCATCAGAGTAACAGAATAACTACTTTTCTTCTTTCTCCTCACAAAACAAAACCTTCCCTAAATGCTTTTTGTTGCTACTCAAGCAGTCTGCTTAATCAAAAGCAGCACATTCCCTACCAGTCCAGCCTTGGGAGAGCAATCAATATAAATGAGTCAACTCTTGAGTCAACCCTTGTGCCTCCTGCCACTGCCACAGTGGCAGTAAAAGCACACTCCTTATCACAGATGGAAAGCTGAGAGTGGGTACAAAGTGTTGCAGCAATTTCCTGTCAGGCTATGTGACTAACAGGAGGTGCTGCATACCTGGGTCCCAATTTAAATTGCTTAATTGTGCTATCAACTAACAGGTAACAAGAGGATCCCCCATTCAAGCAGAGTGAATGAGGGCAGTGTTTGGTTGGTGTTTCTGCCTTGTTTTAGGATGAGGCTGAAATGTGAACCACCAACTAGGCTCATCTCTACCTCCACGGAGCTATAATAACTCCAAAACACACAACAAAGGTCTCTTTCCTACCTTCTAACTCTAGATTCATGACCTTATTTAAGGCTCAGACAAAAGCAAATTAAGTTGGTCATTTGGATAATCAAAAGGAAAGTAGTCTAGTTAAGTAACCAGCCAGTGTCAAAAGTCTCAAAGAGGTGGGCTGTTGATTTTTCTTTGGACAACACCAGAGTTTAAGCATCATCAGTTAAGTAGGCTTTATGTGAATACCCTTAAGTTTCCCCACTCAGGACAAAGATCTCAGTGTGCTTCCTTGAAACTCTTTCCTTAGATTCTTAAGTCTTTCAGTGCTGAACTTCCATGTCTTAAATTTACATTTCCAGAAAGAGCTCATCATTTTCACATCATAAAATAAGCTCTGGAGAAAATTATACTTCTGCTAGATATTGGGAATGGCTAGCCACGAGTTCACCCATCAGGAAGTGAACAGAGAGGAGATGGAAGCAGTGAGGAAGTCTTGACCCCACTTTTACTGCTCTGTACTGGGGAAAAAACTCAAGAACACTCAAGCCCAGTAAATAGTATCAATGTTTAAACTCTAGTCCTGTCCAAAGAAAAATGGGCAGCTCCTCCTAGAACTAGATCAACACATCTTTCATGCGCGGCTATTGCCACGGCATAATTTGTACACCTACCTACCCACACTTTTGATGGAGACTGTCGGCACAGGCTGAGAACTGCAAACAGCAAGGAATTCAGCCTTCAATAAACCATCCAAGACCTGCCTGACTCTCCAGGGCTGAGGTGCAGAAAGGGGGAACCCCAAGGCAGTCAATTCAACCCAACATGGCGGCTGAAGACAGAAAAGGCAGCATTGCCTTCTCTTTCACAGACCCTGAGGGCATTTTCCAGGAGAGACAAGAACTAAAACAGAATCCTGCCTGACACTGGCAGCATCATGTGGTGACTGCCACAGAGGACTATAGATATCAGAGGTGCCTGGCTTCCTAAGGTGCTGGGTCCTAATTCACCAACAGCCCCACCCAAATTCTATGATTGGCATAGAAAGTGCCTTCTTCAGACAGGCTACCCCTCCACACGGCATCCTTTTAACTACACTCTCCATTCATAACCCACCCTGTGGAAGTATAATTACTGTTATCTGAGAGGAAATTTTCCAACCATTCTTTAACATAAAAAATGGTTAAAAAAATATTTAACAGGAATGCACACAGTGCGAAAATCATTCTGTCCTCTTAAGAGAAATGTTTCAGTCATCAGAAGCTCTGCTAGGCTTACTCAGATCAATGCCAGGAATTCAGTGAACTTGGGGTCGAGCTGCCAAGATTCAAAAGAAATGTTGATATAGTAAGTGTTTTCACAGACACCAGTGTGGGACAGCTAACAAATGCCAGCGTGCAACTCCGGTCATAACGCAGATAGGAAAACCAAATTTTCCAGTTTACCCCCTGCACCATAAAATCTAAGAACAACAGAGAAAAACAACAACAAAATTCTTACCTAGCTCTCCCCGGAGGTTAACAAGTTCTTGAGATAGGGTTTTGTGTTGTTTCAGTGCTTCCTCCTGCTGCGGAAAACACACATCAAGTTACTAAATGTTTTCAAGAGGGTCCCATTCATTAAGGCTTACATTTGTTATCACTAGGAAAATGAGACCAGAATCGAGAAGCCAAGATATGAATCATTTAGGCTAACAGTGTGTTTCATTAAAAAACACAGATGTCCCTCAGTTGTTCAGGAAATTCACGTTTCAAAATCGGTATTTTCTCAGGTCCTCGTGAAACTTTTATTTGAGGCACTGAATGGCCTATTTAAAAACATTTACTTTGAGCCATGCTTCATTGCTGTTCCACAGAACCTTTCAGCCAACGCATACTGTACTTAAGACGTAATGCACTCTCCTCCTCCAAGGGCAATAAAGGGCCAATCAGTGGAAGATAAATATTTAATGTTCTAAACACATGCACTTATATGCACTTTGTCCTATATTTGCAAATAAAAAAAGTTTTGTTTGAAGGCCAATACTTCTAAAAGGAAGACAAAAAGTTGGTTGTAAAGTTACACAAAAATTTAATCCTTTAAAGACAAAATTAAGCTAATTTTATTCAATTACACATTACTTTCTACAGATTATTATAGTTTGGATCAACTATAATTCTAAGTAGATTTTAAAGAAATAAATCAAAGGAAATCAGGCAGCTGTTTCAGCATGAAAAAGCAGTTCTCATTCTTGCAATAAAGTACAATTTCCAAGTTACCAGCAACTCATTAGCAAGCACACGTACACACATACTCATACAAATACAGTAATTAGATATGGTTTTGTAAGAGGTACAGTCAGCACCACAGGGGTGTAACTACGGAAAAGGCAGAACTCAAAGCTCTCTGAGTATACCCAGCCTAGGCTCACCCAAGGAGGAGCTCCCGCCGCATCTTGATCACAGTATTGCAGAGATCATGAGACCTGGCCTTTGCAGGCAAGAGTTGCTTGTCATTCAAAGCATTTTCCCCTAATTCCAGACAACCTCTGCCTTAGTCTCTGCATTCTTCCAGAAAAGCACTATAAACAAATACTAATTACCCTCGTTGCTGCACATGGAGAATAGAGGCACATTTTGCTGCCAGAGCAGCCCATTTTCCAGCTTCTGTCTCCAACTCCCTCCACCCACCACACTGCCCAAGAAGTGCACAGGTGGCCACGCCACCCACCAGTCTGGTCTGTCTACATTCAAAGCTTGACCAGGAGGCGCGCCATTGGTCCTCGGTTAGCCTTACTTCACGTCCTGCAGGTTACCGTATGCCTCAGACGCCTCTCTCCTCACAGAAGCTGATGCTGCAGCTTCTGCCTTTGGCACAAGCAGCCTGTGATTACTTAAAGCCACAGCCCTTCATTTATGAAAAACGAGAGCCAGACATTAGACTGATCGATTGCCACTTACTTAAATATCAGCTGGTACAGTGGAAAGAAAAACTGACCTTTGGCTACGTGGATAATGGAGTTATTTTTAGATTTGTGAGCCTTTTTAGTCCCCTCTCTAATTGAGGTCATTAGATTATTACACTTACTAATAGAAAAAGGAAACTGTTCTCCAAAACCTGGATTCTAAGGGAGCTTACGAACCAGGAGAAGAACAAAGAAAGTGCCCGTTGTGACTTAGTGACTTAAAATTGAAATGACTTAAAATGAATGCTCTCTCCACAAAATTAAATTTGAGTGCTTAGAACATGGTCCATGCTGCGTTGAGAACTGGAGGGCACATACATTCTATAACTTTTACTTGGTACTTTGTAGTTGTCTGTCACTGAAGACTAAGGAAGTTACCAACATACTGGTGTCTTAAAGATAGTTAACAATGTCCAGAATTTAAAAAGCGTTTCTCGTTGTGTATATTTTGGGCTTAATGCTTGATTTTTAAAGTATTAAGTTGTTCTGAAGCCACAGATCAGAGAGTTAGGGCTTTAACAATGAACAAGCAAATTGGTTCTTATGTAAAAAATAAAGTTTGAGGAAAATCAATCTGGCCAGAAACAGAAATCAAATAAAAACATACACTATACATTTCTCTTAACATTGTAACTTTAAGCCTTAATTTCATTTACTTAGTGATCTAGTTTAAGTAACAATCAGCAAATTTTTTAACTGGATGTCAGGAAAACCAGGAGACAGCTTGACTAGATACTCAGCAGCAATGCTGTAACACATTCAGTGCACTTGCTTAAAATTCATTTTTTTTTCCACTAGTAAGCAGTTCAATGGTTAATAGAAAAATCAGCAAGAAAGTTTACTCTTCTTCAAATTTATGGAAGCTAAAAGGACAACTGAATAATTAACCTGCTATACAATTTTGACAAAACTGTTATGTTCTATCATATTATATATATATATATATACACACACATACATATATATTAGCAAATATAAATATTAGCAAAAGTCAGATGTGAGAAATATATATGCTCACATACATATATATTTCTCACATGTATATGAGCATATATATTTCTCACATCCGATTTTTTGATAATATATATTTGCTAAATATTTTCAATTAGAAAAAAATGAGATGTGAGAAATATATATATGATATACATATGATCATATACATATATATTTCTCACATCTGATTTTTCTTCTAATTGAAAATATTTGGAGGCAAAAATTTTGGTATCCATATGAACACATCCCTCAACCCCACTGCACTTAACTTTCCTGCTCTCAATGTCCAGAAGTCATCTATATCTTCCAACATCTGCCAGTACCAGGAATAGAAAGAGGGAAATCCTGAAGTCATCTTTGACTTTTCTTTACCTAAATGGGCTATGTATGCCAAGTCAGTTCTTGCTTCCTAATGTTTCTTGCATCTGTCATCCTTTTTCTACTAGTGATAGCTCCAGCCTAGTCCTAATCCTCACCAGCCATTCTTGCACTATTGAAGCATCCTCCACACTCCCTTGAAGAAGGCTGCTAGATTATTATCCCATATTCTCTTTACCTAATGAATGCCCTTGATCAAAAAGAGCCTCCTGTTTAGTACTTACAAAAATAAATTTCACCCTAGCTTCATGAACCTAATCATCCAGTTACCATTTAGACTTCCATCTCCTCTTCTGTCCAAGTCACTCTCTCACCATGCCTGTCTCACCCTCCACAGTCTGGAATGCCTAGTCTTTACCTGAACCATTTTAAAACCCTTCAGGGAATACTGAATGATAGTCATATTCACTGTTCTCTTCCACCAAAGCCTAGACAGGACTTGACCCTTCTGATTCAGTGTGCAAGTCATTGCTCAGTACCAATTAACCAAGCACCATTCCAGATACTGTGAAAAATATGAAAGGAATTTAAGACATGGTCTCTGCCTTAAAGAAGGCTGAGACTAAGCAGAACTAAAATGCCCTCCCCCCAATTCTCTGGTTATCTCCCAAGGAAGACGCCTCACCTGAGGAGGAAGCATACAGGATAATAAGACCATGGGCTTTAACTACAACCCAGCATGCAATGCTGACCACAGTCTCCCATATCATAATAGACACATATGAAGTAGCTGACTCTCCCTGGCTGCCTGCTCTTAAGGTGCTTACCCTTCACCTATAGATGATGAAATGCATTTTGTCAATTAGATACTGATAGCCTGTTTCTTTTTTTTTTCAGTTAATCCTATGTCAGTGTTTTCATCTTAGATGACAAACACCTAACCCAGACAATAAGCTTATATGATTGTATTTGTAACATGCAGAAGTTCACACAAAATAAAGAGTAGTGAAAATCTGGATAGAAAAATGCCTCCATACTCATGCATTAAATATATGAAGTACTCCAAGAAAAAAAAAAATAGATTCACCATAATTTAATTAGGAGTCCCTGAGACACAGGCACTTAGTCTCTGGCTGTCATCCCATCAGTGAGTATGAATTAGCTAACAGTGCAGAGCATCAATAAGATGGGGGGTTCTACAGAAAAGTCCTATCAGTTGGCTCACTGTACATGATATCTGACCTCCTCCACATGTACACAATGATAATATCCACTTTTTCTGTTGTGAGACATTTTTACTTTCAGTAAACTGCTGATATCATTCAAAATTTGCCTCTGTTCTGGTGTTACTTTAGATTAGATTCCACTTTCAAAAACAGATTTGGAGAGACACTGACTAATTAGTCAGGAATTTTGGATGGGGAGTGACCTCAGTCCTATTTAGTCGTACCAGGAAGCATCATAGAACCTTTTATAAAGAAATCAACACTGTCCTCTACTTGGCTGTCTGTATAGGGTACTTATGCATACAACGATGCAAAGATAAGTAAAATAATTAAAACTAACAATAGTGTGTTCCGGGAAAAACAAATTATAGTATTGCTTTCCATATTTCTGAGATATTTGTTAGAACTGAGCTACACAATGGTTTATGTCTGCCAAAAAAGTGGGAAAGCTATAGTAATGAAATCAGTTTATGCAAAAGAACAAGTGATGGTTCAAGGATTCTCTATAATCAACTATCTTCATTCATAATCTAGTGTTCCAAACTGTTTAGGAACAGTTAGCAGTAACAAGATGTATCTCTATATACAGATCAAACTATATCCACTTGTCACTACTGTAATGGGGAAGAGAGAACCAAGAGTTAAGAAAACTTTGCATTGAAGAAAAACTTTTTCCCCAGTTATGGCTCTCCTTTCCAAATGTTTTATAACAGTGCCATGTACACATTAAGCAATCAGTAAATATTTGCTAACTGATTAGAACTTGCTAGAAAAGAGCAAAAGATATTTATGTAAAGACTTTAGATTTTTAATCTTACATCTGAGGTTTCTTCCTTTCCTTATTCATTTGTTCCTGTGTGTCTATTATGTGTGTAAGGCATGGCCACAGCAGCGACAGTCGTCTCTTAAGAAAGAACTAGATGCAAATTCTGCTCTCACTGATAACACAAAGTGGAGAATGACAGAGAATTTTAAGTACTTCTAGAATGCAGAGGGTAGACAGAACACAGAGCTAGAGGGACCAGGAAAGCCTTTAAAAAGGGGAGGATGGGTGAGCTCTGCTCTAAGAAATTAAGTGAAGTCATAATTGAACAGGAACCAGGATCTAAATTAGGTGTTTGAATTTACTATACAGCAAAAGTATCCATAAAACTCATTATGAGTTTGTCCTGTTGGGAAAAGATATCTTTCAGTATGTCCAGCTCAGTGATGCTTTTTCTCTTTCTCCAACTGAACATTTGATAAAATATTTGGATAGTATATAAGAGTCAGGGCATATGGAAAGGAAGTATCTTCAAATATTAGATTACATGTTATGTGGAAGGTGCCTGCCATACATAAGAGGTATTCAGGGACTGAGGATATACCTAAAGGAAGAGCAGATTGATATCCACTCCTGGGCCTTTGCTCACTGATGGGCAGGAGGGCAGGGCTACCTGATAGACTTAATTTGCATTTTTTAAACATTGATTATGTTTATAATGAATCCATGGAAATTAAGTGAAATGATGCTACCTTAAGAAAGGTACGGGGGGAAGGATGGTAGTCTAGCAATGGTACTTCTAAAAGGATGAAAAAGAACTGGCAGAAACAGGGGGGGTGAGTTCTAGAGTCTGAGATCTGGGTTCAAGTACTAGCCAGACTTCTCTCACCAGCTCTCTGATGATAAACAGGCATGTTACTCAGGAGCTCCTTGTCTCAACATTTTTATTAGTATATATTCCAACTTGTGTTTTTAGACAGAATTCAGTCAGATAAATAAGAGTATGTTGAACATTAGGAAATATTCAACAAAGGTTAAATCCTCTTACTTCTCTATTTTCCCAGCTATATAGCTGGAACATACAGGCAGTGATCAGTTTCAAAAGATCAGCTGGTGCCAAATAATCATAGTTTTATACTCCAAGTTATAAATCAGTTATCCAAAAGAAATATGATGTGAGCTATTTTAATGTTTATAATTTTAATTTCCCAGTAGACACATTAAAATGTTTTTAAAGATTTCAGTAATATATTTTATTTAATCCAATATAACCAAAATATTATTTCAAAACAGTCAATAGAAAATTATTGAGATATTTTACATTCTTTTGTATGCCTTTGAAATCCATGTATATGTATTATAATTACAATTAATTGCATATCTTGATTCAGACTGACTACATCTCAAGTACTTAATAACTTCCTGAAGCTTAGTGGCTAACATATTGGACAGATCTGATGAGCTGCTATCATTCAAAATTTGCCTCTGTTCTGGTGCTGCTTTAGATTAGATTCCACTTTCAAAAACAGATTTGGAGAGACACTGAATAATTAATTAGTCAGGAATTGTGGATGGGGAGTGACCTTGTTCCTATTTAGTTGTACCAGGAAGCACCACAGAACCTTTTATAAAGAAATCAACACTGTCCTTTACTTGGCATCTGTATAGGGTACTATACAACGATTGACAAGGGATAATCGCGGAAGGTTTTAATCATTAGAATGTAAAGATGAGTCTGTTAGCAGTGCTTGGGGTAGATTATAAGGAGGAAAGGGTGCAAGCTGAAAGACTGCTGAAGAAGTATAGTCTAGTGGACAGCTATCCAGACTATGAGTAAGGATGAACCAGTAAGAATGAGTAAGAGGGATAAAGGGCAGAGACACTGTGGAAAGAGTTCACAGGACATGATGACTGATTTTATGTGGGTGATAAAGGACAGAAAGAGTTGAATGTGGGATTGTTAAGCTTGATATAGTAAAACAAGATAACCTCTTTATCCCTAATCTGCTTCTGCCCTACATTTGATAGGATATGGTTTTCAATTTAGCTTGATTATATAAACCAAATCTTGAATTCCTTCTTTACATATAAAAAGGGGAGAAATACTGTATAGTACTGTAATTTTAAAAAACTAAACATTTCTATCTCCTTCTTAAAAACATACGTGTATGCACACATATATAAACACATACATATATATTACATATATATCTATTTGGACAAGGCTGCAAAATGTTCATCAACTATTAATCTATACTATCTACCAGTTTGGCAGCCCATCAAAGGCACAGACCAAGTGACATTCACCTGTCTCCCTGCCCTAGATGCATACACAGCAGCATCTTAGGAAATGAATATAGTCTTGTTGAATTGACTTAAGCTACAAACAAGCAAACCAAACCGTTTTCTTCTTGAGATGCCTTGTATTTTTAAAGCTGTGGTTAAAAAGTATGTAAAGAGCTCAGATTATAGTCTCATCCCAGAGTTTCCCCTTAAGAGAATAAGTTTTTGTTGCTATGCAAGTAGCATATGTTCATAAAAACTTGGTTTTCTCAATGAATTTTAACTAGTTCCTGAACTGACATCCTTGGAAAGTATTGGGGGTGGCTTAGCAAGCAAAGACAATCTGTTTTGTTCTTGTTGTACCACAAAGTATTTTAGGAATGGATGGAAATCCTGAAGAGTCCTCAGATCTACCCTAAATTACTTTCACTGTTGTCTGACCCATAAATGATCAACCTCATCTTTCAGAGCATTAAACTAAGTGTGCTGTGGAAAGTGACATATAGTTAGGCAAAAAGTTAAGTGAAAAAAAATCAGTGCTAATATAGTCTGGAAATAAACAAAAGTCGTCTCAAGGCAATTATCTTCTGTTGGTCTAAGAGACTCTAGAGGGGAAACTGAGGTACACGAAATGTTTCCATCCTGCTTCCTGAAGGAAAAAGATAAATATCAGACGGTCTCAATTACATGTAGAATATAGGGAAACCAAACAAAAGGTTAAGAAAAAGTTAAAACCAGCAAGCTGACCATAGAACTGAGGCATACAGCAAAGGAGTAGCGGTCAAAACAGGGGAGGGAAGCGCACAAGGGACTGTGGTGATGTTTCACGGGTGATATGGTGCTAAAATAACTGTGGGGACTACAATGATGTAAGAAAAAAAAGTTTCTATTGTGTATTTCCAGAGATTCACTCAGATATCACATACTTAGCTAAATTAGATCCAATCTTACGAACTTGCAAATAATCCCAAGACAAAAGCATGAGCGCTGTCCCCACCTGCCCTCTGCTTCTCCCACCCCCGACTCACCCACTGCAGTGAGGACACATCCTTACCTCACACAGCAAGTGCTGAATCACAACTGTTAATGCTTCAAACTTGGTGTTACCACAGGAGAGAAGCTGCTTGAGCTGCAGGATAATTCCACTCTGGTTTTCACATTTTGTTTTATACTGGGCCAATTCGAGTGTTTTTTCAGAGGACAGAGCACCTGGAGACGTCTGTGTCTGGATACATAAACTTCTGGGAGTCTTTTGTCTGCCCTTTTCAACTACAAAAGAAAAGACAGGTACTTAAATCTGTGGCTTTAATTTTATAATCACCACCACATGAGTTCAAAAACAACTAGGTAAGCCACAAAAATGCATTAAATTTACATTTACATAAGGAAAGAGTATGAATGACAACAGGAGTTAGTCAAATACTGGGTCGTCAGGAAAAGTCATCATGCATTTTTGCATAGAAAATAGAAAAAAATACATCATGACTTTTCTGACAACCCAGTACCTAGACATTTGGAATTTAAAAACCAGACAATAACCACTTTAATTCTGACTTTAAAACATTTATGTGGAGCAGAGAATCATGCACAGGAAACAAATTTAGCAATCCAAAAACACGAAAATTGTGTGCAAAATAATACTGATTTCATAGTTCTAATCTTCTAGGTGAACTGGCACAGAAACCAATAACAAGTCTCCCAACTCTATATTCTGATCATGCGCACTGAAAGAAAAACGACTGAGCAAATGATTGGAACTTAAATGTCTTTTCCTCCTCCCAAAACATTTTCTACAAACTCCCTGTCCTTCCCCTGCTAATGCTGATAAATTCAAAGATTTCTACTGCAGACAAATTATTTCCTAACCTCTACTAAATTGTCATATACATTGAAAATCTATGTCCACTTTGCCTTTCAAGTTCACTACTAAAAGTACTCTGCTCCTGACTATACAATTACATTTTTTTTTTCTTAAAGATTTATTTATATATACAAGAACCGGGGTACAGGTCAGAGGCACCGGAGGGTGAGAGGATTCACCAGAGACAGAGCGGGGAACTGAACAGTCAGACTGTCGAAATACACTGCTGAGGGGAGCAGCGGGAGAGACAGGAGAGGTCTGCTGCACCATGCGGGATTCTCGCCTGCCGGCCGGGATTGAACCTACACTACACAGGCTGCAGACAGCTTCACAGTGCAGCGCTCAACCACCTGCGCCACCAGCGAGGCCCTACATTTTGTTTCATACACTGGCTTCATTATTTTCCCTTTCCAAGTAGTAATAATGGCTTAATTTTTTTTTTTTCTTAAAGCACATGCTACTACTCCAAATTGATCTAAGAATCCATGCTAAGTCATTATTCACTTTCTGTGCCATGTTGCACTGGGAATTACTCTGTTTAAAATAAAAAACTGGTCCATTTTGGAAGCATTCCAAATATCTCAGTGACTTTAAATACCAAACTGAATTGGAAAAACAGGAAACAAGCTGCTTAGCTTCTGAAAATAAGAGGCGAAATAATCAAAACAAATCTAAATCTGAAAAGACACAAGAAACAAAACAATAAGTGTTTCCTTACTCTCACAGGCATTCCTATGGCATCCACATACTGTGGTAACAAACAAATCTGAGATGATTTTTGTAAACAGTAATTATTTTCTCTAATTTTTCAGAGGGAGGAAAACTACAGTGATTTCTTGAAGGAAAATAAACAAAGAAGGCTCAGTATTCATGTTCCAAGAACCAAGGGCAAAATTACACTCAATATATTACAAGTTAACGGCAGGAGAGAGGCCCTTGTTTTCTATGGTTGTTCTCCAGATTAAACAACTCCGCTCACTTCTAAAATACCTACTGTGTTTCATCCTTTAAAAAGGGGAAAGTATGAAATATTTTTATTAGCAATCATTAAAATAGTTATTTGTCAGTAACTGCCACTTTCACAGCAGATGGGGAACATAACCAAGACTCACATTAACATCTGAGAGAACTTCAGTCTTTATATTAATAAAAAGTAATCTAAATATCTTATAATTTATCAAAATGAGATTAGTATTTCTTTAGTTTGTCACTTCCTAAAATGTTCTTATAATAATTATTGTGTTATACTGTTCACAGAATATTCTCACATTCCCTCTCTTTTGATCCTCCCAGTAACCCTCAGTAGGGAAGGTGAGGTTCAAGGATACGAAGGGACTTGTCCAAGTGGACACAGCTTCTGTGGGATGGATTCAATGGCAGAGGTTAGGCTCCTGCCGCCAAGGCTCTGCTGTTCCTACCCATTCTGCAAAGTGGAGATGGAGTGGAGATATATTACACAACCAAGAAACTTATATGCAATACTCTTCACAAAGTGTTATTTTAATACATTCAAGCCCATTATTTGACAACTCTTCATTTCAATAGATTACATATAAACATCTACATTTTATACAGAATTTTATGTAATTTTATAGTCAAAAAAACCCATTTGAAGCTTTGACCACCTACTGTAATATTTTGATAGCAACTCATCCTCCTAAGTGATACCATTGCTAGAAGTTCCATCAGTACTTACTGAAATATTCATTTATTTATTGATAACACTCTTTTGAATCTATCACTTCTTGACTCCTTAACAATGTTAATTCCCTTTGTAGAATTTTTATGGTAATTAACTTCATTATTTAGTACAATATTGGAATTTTGAAATGGTCAGGTTATAACTATTCATAAGATTTGAGAGGTGATTTCCATATTAACATTCTTGGGGGACACTTTCTTTAGGATTCTTAGTCTTTCTGATAAATGTCAGTATTTGCTGGCCTAACAAGTTATTTCATAAGGGAAATATATTGAATTATATATAAATCAAACTATTAAGAATTATTTTACACACTTCGGTTTCGAATGTAGATACTCCTTTTATAGCAACAAATTTCATATTTTCCTTCAAATTATCTCTTAAATCAAAGTCAGGCAATAGTGGTATATTTATGTTTGGCTCCTTTGTAAACTAAATTCTTTTACTATATTATCAAGGTTTTTGGTTTTACAACTCAACTGAAAGTATTTGCTAGTTACATTGTTTGGTCACATTCATATACATGTTATATGCCTTCCTTTATATTTATATGTTTTTCTCATTAAATGATTAACTCTATTTCTAACATTATTTTAAAGATAGGGAGACATAGCCTTACCCTTGTGGTTTAAGGCTAAACCTTAAACCAAAAGTTTCTCAATGGACATAAAATAGCACATTTATGCATACTGTTAGGTATTTTTTAAGTGTGCAAATTTAGGAGTTGTACATGATGACTTCTTATTAGGTCTATGAAATCATTAAGATCTTTTACTGTCTTTTATTTTAATTCAGTAACTTTTATTAAAGGTGCTTATTATGCCATATCAGCTTCAAATTCCTGTCACGAACTCCTAATTTGTTTCAGGATGTCAGTGCAGCATTGTTAGCTATTCCCTAGTTGTTTCTGAGCATCTTGATGGCATAGGTCCACAAGTGAGATTGGCATCTGTACATATCCTTTATTAATTTTGGTTGCTTTACTTTGGGTAACAAAATGGCATTTTTGTGCTAATAAAAATACAATTCTCCACATTCCAGAATTGTTAAATGTGTTACTGTATCTATTCATTGGAAGTTTAGAAAATTCTCTAGGTCCTAACATGATAAAAAGAATGCTGCTGAGATCACTCCAGACTGTAAACTACTTTTTGCTAAGGAACACCATGGAAAACATCAGCTGTCCAAGTTTGGTTGCATTTCAATCACACAAGTCTCCTTGTTCTTAGCTGCTTTTTCATTTATATTATCTGGTTGCTGTTTATCTTTAGTGGCAGTTGAGTGTGTTAGGGTATTAATTCCATCTAACTAGATAAGTAGGCAAGGGCACATTGACCGCCTTAGTAAAACCCAAGCAGTCCCTGGATCTGTTACTTTTCCTCCCAGGTTTCCTTATGAGTTGGTAAAACAATCTCTAAGTGGGGGAACCCACCTATTTGTATCAACTCCCAAGTGTCCATTCATGAAAGCCCAAATAGTGCACCCAGAAGACAAACACAGCTCTGCCTCAGGTAGTACCAGAAATTATCTGTACATCAGGATGCAGTTCTCAAAGCCATCCTCCAAGAAGCTCATGGCTGGTAAGCAAGACTTTATCCTTTTATGAATACTACACATGAAATGACATATATAAAAGGGTTTTCATTATAAACTTGTTTGGAAAGATTGAAAAAATAAAAGACAGCACCCTAAGGTCCATAAGAAGTAAACTGCTTAAATAAATCCATTGTACGTTTATATGTAGAATACCACAGCTGTCATACAGGAGTAGGAGGCTCTCTGTGCTGAAAGAGAAAAGCTCCATAAAGAGCAATGTAGCTAATGTGACCCCGATGTGTAAAGATGTAGGGAATGTAAGAGCCTGTTTTCTTTTTTGCTTATAAAGGCATAACAAAAATGGACAATAATGTAAAATAGAAATAAATTACATTAAAAAATAAAGGCATAACAAAATGATCACAGAATACATATAAAAAGACTAACAATGTTTACCTTTTCAGAGAAGGACATAGGAACCAGATAGATGAAAGGTAATCTAATGCAGTCTTTGTAATTCTTTAACCATAGGGTAAATGTATTCTCTATTTGAAAATATGCAAGTAGTACTATTTTTTTTAACAGATGGTTAAAATGAATTCTGAGTACCTAAAACATTAACACTTTGTCATCAAGAAAACATGTTTAATTCATGTTGTTTCCTTGGGGGAATCTAACCAGGATTTTGAATGACACAAGTTGTGTGGTATGTGAATACTCAGACTATGTTTATATTTAAGGAGGAAATACAACATTGACATACATGTCTTTGAGAATTTTATGTAAGAATAAATAGGCAAGTGACTGCCTTCTACATAGAGCTGGAAAAACAAGCTGTGACCTCAATCTTCCCCTTCATATACCGTGCTCCCTAAGGACAAAATAATACCACATGGTAACTGATGCCCCAGCTTGAGCATTGACGACCCCCCACACACCCCAACTCATGGTGCAACTGAAGATCAGAGATGATGCAAAATCTCCAATGATGCCAAAAGCCCTAATGCTCATAAAGAGGGTGTTTCCTAATACTAAAATGCCGCAGTTTCCCTTAAATCCTACAGGAGTCATTATTTATAGGAAATGAACAACACATAACCCAAACTTTGCCCCTACATTCTGTTTAACATGTTACCATTTTTGACAATGTAACTATATTTAAAAGTATAG